GGGTTCATCAAAAGGGTTCATCCTCCATGTTACCCTCATGTTTTACTCTCATGTCGACATAGATGAGGTCGGTTGATGTTTCTACGAACACTGTTGATTCCTTTTCATTACGTCCAGAAGAATCGTTTGTTGTGAATGTGTCTGAATTTACCCCAAACCGGACAATGCTGATTAATAACCTGCTGGATCTAAGGGAGGGGGTGGTGTGGTGGTTAGCACCATGGCCTCACAGCCTGAGGGTTCTGGGTTGGAGTCCCGGGGGAACCAGGACCTTTCTGGGTGGAGTCTGCATGTTCTCCTGTGTCTGTGGGTTCTCTCCGGGTTCTCCGGCTTCCTCCCACCCTCCAAAAACCTGCATGTTAGGTTGGCTGGACTCCAAACTGCCCTTAGTGTGAGTGTGTGTGGTTGCTGGTCCTTGCGTGTCTCTGTGTGTCCCTGTGATGGACTGGGGACCATCCAGGGTGACCCCGCCTCTCCCCATTGGCTACTGGGATAGACTCCAGCCCCCCCCGACCCCATTAGGGAATAAAAGGTTACGATAATGGATGGATCTAAGTGATTTCTCCAGAGATATGGGTTATATAATAATCCCCTGAGACTCTGCGGCCAAAGCTAACCGAGCTGAATGCATCTTTAATGGTATTGTTGGGAGACACAAAGGGGAGATTCTAATTTGACAGAACATGATTCAAAATGTGGCTGACGTCCTTTTCTCTTGTTTGGCATTCTGTGGTTTCTAGGACTAAAGTGGCTCTTCATGTTCTCAGTGTGCTGTTCGGGTCTAAAAGCTCAATCCATGGATTCTCTGTTGTGAATCTCTTTTCTTTGTGTCTCTATTAGACGGGATTATACTGGAAACTCCCATCCTGGTAGGAAGCCATTTTATGTGGATACTGTTCATTTATTGCCAAGTTCATTTATCGAATCCTCACTAGTTTGATATGAATGTATTCAGGGATTCCTTTTTGAATCGTTCCCTCAGTACCAGACGGCTTGTTCCTTATATGGATGTGGGGGTCACACAGCCAACGTTCAGCCTCAAGCCCCCCCAGACGGGTAAGAAACCTGCTACTATCTGTACACAGACAATTCACTTCAATTTTATTTATATAGCGCCACATCACAACAACAGTTGTGTCACAGCGCTTTCCAAACAGAGCAGGTCAGACCTTACTCTGAAGTTAACTACAGAAACCCAACAATTCCCACCATGAGCAAGCACTAGGGGACACAGGCAAGGAAAAACTTCCTTTTAACAGGCAGAAACCTGGTGCAGAACCATGGCTCAGGGTGGGGGGTGAGAGAGAGAGAGGGCGAGAGAGAGGCAGCCAACACTGCAACACGTAGACTGGATGAAAAATGGCAATGATATTAATACTAATCATAATGATAGGAGTTATGACAGCAATAACACTATGCAAAGTTGTAGCAGAGCAGGAACACGGGGGCAGCAGGAAACTCCCAATCACAGATCCAGACTCCACAGCTCTAGGAACTCCTGCAGGAAGTTATAGGACATAAGGCTATAAGGATCCAGGAAATGTTGCTTTTTGTGACCTGACTTCCATAACAACTGTTTTTCATTTCTACAGAACCGTCGCAGCTTTTTGTGAGTCTCGATCCAGGAAGCCGTGCCACTGCACCAGGTCCCAGTGCCTCAAACTGTGAGTCCACCCACCTGAAGTTACTTTAGACTCGGATCATTACGTTTTCTTTCTTCTGGCTCAATTAAAGAAATCTACATGGATTTTTAGAAATAGCTGTGAAGCATGTAGATACAAAAGTCCTGAGTCCATGCTAGTCGGTGCATATGAAGTATTTAGTATTTAACATTATGCACATTAGGGATGTCCCGATCCAGCTTTTTGCACTTCCGATCCGATCCTGATCCCGGCCTATCAGAGCATGTATTAAAGTTTAAAGTTATTTATCTACATACTTAGTTGTCAGACTCATGTTGAACAGGGAT